TTCAGCGCTTGTTGGCAGTGTTCACCTTCGCTCACCGGACATTGCTGTCGGCTGAGGAATGTGCTAATGTCAGCTTGCCTGCGGAAGGATGAGCTGCGTCACGAGGCACCGTACCCTGTGTTTGCCGCAACTTGGCAACACAAAGGTATTGCGAAGGGCATCTCTATCAGTGTAGCAGCACTAACCTCTTGTTCCGGAATGCTGCCTGAAATTTGAGGCTTTGTCCGTGGGCCTCTGCCTGTTCTTGTCGATGCGCCTGGGCAGGGAAAAGCTGCAGAGTTAGTTTTGGGCATCTTTTTCTCCCCTTCGCGGCCGGCGCTGAGGCTCTCGGTGGTCGCCCAAGCGCTTGGAGGTGCATCAGTCATGTAGCTACTTGGTAGACGCAGGTTGGTACTATTGTGCCATATTGTGCCCATTGCACGATCTCTTGCGAGCACCTCCAAGCTTCTGGGAGCATCCGGTCCCTTTATCGTCCTTTCCAGAAGAGGACGCCCATGGGGAGGGGTGGCGAGATAGATGCATCGCTGGAAGGCCTCGAGTACTGTTTACGTTTCGGCGGTGGCTGCTGTGCAACCTTGTGCCTCAGATGCAACAGCCTACCCATCGTTTTGAAAAGAAATCTCTGAGGCCCCGAACACCCGAAACCTCAAAGCCGCCAAATCCCAAAACCTCAGGGGGTTGTGGCAATTGTTGTGGCAGCGCAGAGCCGAGGATGCTTGTGTTTCCCCGTAAAGCCAGGGACCTCTCAAACTAGACTCCACGCCTCCATGCCACACCCCTCCGACTCTTATGGGGTTGATTCCAGTTTTCATGGCTCTGCACTCTGTGTTGCCCTAACCTAAGCCCTGACTCGGTTTGCGCCTCGGACCAGGATGGCCATGGTGTTCCCGCCACTTCTCTTCGTGCGAACCCGGGCGGAGCGCGGCTGGGACGCACGCGTCGTGCCTGGGATGCAGAGATGAGTCGCTTATTGCGGCGATTGGGTTTGCCGCTGGACTCGATCTGGAGGTTTACGTCTGCAGTGCGGGCTGGTCGGTTGTCCATGGTTGTCCCAGTTGCAATCTGCTGTATGTAGTTGGAAGCAGGGAGAGTGTGGATCGGCCCCGTTTTTTCCTGCTCATGCACAGGAAACGCAGACTCACACGTCTCACTGCACTGTAAGGATTCGGCACGAATCGGTAGCTTGGCGGTGACGCACACAATGTTCGAGTAGGCACCCATAGGGGTGATATTGCGACAGCCCGCAGCGCTGCACCCCAAACCAGTGGGATCACGCGTGGCCGCCCTGTGTCTATTTCAGCGTGTCCTTTGCAGAGCCACTGGCCCCTCCTCTCCGACAGTTTTAGCTCCTCGCCTGAGGTCTGCGGGAGCCGGGGAGGTGCCTTTGCCAGATCGATCCTTCTCAGATCCAGACTTCTGCGGATTGTTCGTGTCATAGAGTGTTGGCCTTGCCACCAGCAGCAGTCTAAACATGCGAGATCACGACATCTAGTCACACGCCCAACGCCCAGCCACTGGGAGTTGTCGTAGATAAAGCAGGCGAGAATCTGCATACCACCGCCGCCGCCGCCACCGCCGCCACCGCCGCCGCCACCACCACCACCGCCGCCGCCACCACCACCACCACCACCACCACCAGCAGCAGCAGCAGCAGCAGCAGAAGCACCAGCAGCACCAGCAGCACCACCCCCACCACCACCGCCAGCACCACCGGCACCAGCACCACCAGCTTCAGCAACATCAGCACCAGCAACAGCAGCAGCACCACCAGTGCCACCGACACCCCCAGCACCCCTAGCACCCCCAGCACCCCCAGCACCCCCAGCACCAGCACCACCAGCACCACCAGCACCACCAGCACCACCAGCACCACCAGCACCACCAGCACCGCCAGCACCAGCAGCACCAATTCCAACTCCAACTCCAACCTCAACACCAACAACAAGAGTAATATGACGAGAGAGAAGACCAAACATAATAATAACGATGAAATGAAGATCAATAACAACAGCAAGAAGAGTAGCAATGACAGTGCTAGTAGCAAGAAGAGAGTCCACGACCACTACAAGGGCTCTTGCAACTGCACTGTGTTGTTTTTTCTGCATCGTCTTGGCCTTCGTGCAACCATCACAATGGCCAGGGTTGTGACTTTCGTGCATTTGCAGGAGACCGACAGTATGTTCCTGCTACCTGCAGGCTTGGCCATGATCTTGGCCATCGGCACCTCCGTTTGGATTCTCAGCAACCGGCCTGCAGTGGTTGGAGATGGTTGGAGGGTCTTCATGAGGCCTGGCGTCCAGGGCCCACGCAGGTTTATGCAAGTTTTGCATCTTGCTGTCGATGCAGGTGGGACTTTCTAGCAGTCGCATGGCCGGCAGATGTGGCTAGCAAATTCAGGCAATACGAAATTGGTCGAGGATATACTGGAGACGATCCACGCCCCGAAGAATCAGACCCTGGATAATCTGACCACAGCCTGAGAGGAGCTGCGATTGCTTAACTGAACAAAAAGGCCGTAAGCTGTCTGAGCAGTCGCTTGAGGGATTAAGAGTCCTAACCTCCGACCCGGCCTAGCGGCCAGCACCTGTCAGAATGGCCTGCTGGAACGCCTCTTCGAGGAAAACGCCAAGATGAAGGTCCATCAGGACACCAGACTTGCAATTAAATGTCTCCGAGTCGTGGGACCGGATCGTGCGAGCCACTTCCCAGGACAAATTGCGGCTGGACCTTGAGAGATCCGAAGAAAAAAACGCCGCGCTCACCGACGCAAACAGCGAGCTGGTCCAAGCGCTTCCCGGTTGTTGATTGCGTTTTTGGTGCTCATGTGGCGTTTCGTGCATCATGCGATGCTTTTTCTAATCTCATTCTGCGACGGAAGCACGGCAGAGTCCTGTAAGACAGCCGAGGGTCTGCTCGGCTCAAAACACAGCCCGGGTGGAAAGGAACAAGCATGAAGTTGAGAGGCAGGGAAGATTGCAGTCATGACATGCTTGGGAATGTTGACTCCTGACTCTGACTCTAGATCAGAGAGTGAGCCAGTAAACCCAGCGGTGCACCAGGCGAGGCAATCTGGCCATAGCCAAAAGCTTGCAAGCGAAGCTCGGCACCGTTGAGTGAGGAGCTTTTGATGATAGCCATGCGGTTGAGTTATTGCTGATGATGTTAATGATTAATGATGTTGAGAAAGATATAGAAAGATGATCAGTACCAGAAGCAGAATCTAGTCGAGCTTTTGGGTGAGTGGATAGTCAAGTGCCAGAAGACAGGGCTCTGAAAAGGAAGCAGCTCAGCCACGCGTTTGTGACCAACAGTCATGATTGTGGTGGTGGCGATGGTAATGGTGGCGGTGGTGTGGTAGTGGTGCTGTGGGAATGCTGGTGCTGTTTATTGTAATTTCATTCGTTCTCTTTGCTGTCGCTGCTGCTGCTGCTGCAGTTCCCGCTGCTGCCGCTGCTACCGCTGCTGCCGCTACCGCCGCTGCCGCTGCCGCTGCCACCGCCGCTCTGCTGGAGGGGGCGGGGGATGGGTGGGGGGCTGGTGACATCCATGCTGATGCGGCTTGCATGTAGTGTTGCTTTTGTGCTCCGTGCAGGGGAGGGGAGGCTGACGCTAATGCAGCTTGCATCTAGTGTTGCTTTCGTGCTCTGTGCAGGGGTGGGGAGGAGGGGGGGGGGGTTGGGGGGCTGATAACGTCTATGCGAATAGTGTTTCTTTGTTTTGCTCCGTGCAGGAGTGATTTTGAGGAAGCGTCGTAAACACCGTGGTTTCTGTGTTATTGCCAAGAATTCCGCAAGCTCCAGATTCAAAGTTGTATTCTTACAGCAGATTGCCTTGACCGTGATGACGATGGTGAGGATGATGATGATGATGCTGTTGCTGATGATCATGATGTTGATGCTCCTGAGTAATTATGCTTGTTGCTAAGTGTGATGATTATGAAGATATTGATGTTGATGATGTTGCTTGCATTGCTCATGCAGAGGATAACGACGGTGATGATGATAATTATGATGATAACAAAGACAGTGACAATGTTGCTCCTCTTGCTGCCGTTTTCCTGTTACTTTGCCAATTTGTCAGACCTCCCACCAGAAAAAGTGCAGCGTTTTGTGGGCTTTCCAAACAAACACTTTAAACATGAACGCACAACTGAAGCAACACAAACAACGAAAAGCATGGTACTTGCGGCGTTTTCGAAAGAATGACACTCAACAACAAGAACAAAAAGCAAGGGAACAAAAAGGTGCCGAAACATCTTCTGATCCACGAAAGCAACATAAAGCTCGAGGTTTTCAGGCTTTGACCAGACAAATTACAAAAACAAAAAAAACGCGACACCCGCCGCGGGCAAATGCTACATCTGCCTTCTTCTTGTTGTTGCTGTTGTTGTTGTTGTTGCTGTTGGTGTTTCCTGTTGCTGTTGGTGCTGTTGCTGTTGCTGTTGCTGTTGCGCTTGTTGTTGCTGTTGCTGTTGTCCCTGCCTTTGCGGTTGTTCTTGTTGGTGCGGTGGTAGTTGTGAGTGTTGTGAGTAGTTCTTGGTGGTGAGGGTTGTAGTTGTCGCAGTCGTAGTCGTTGTCACTGGGTGTAGCCCTTATCGTTGCTGTCGTCGTCGGCGGGCAAGCCTTCGACATGACCTTTCTTTTGGCCTTCCGGAGTGGGATGGGATCTCCTCACTGGGCCCACATGAACACGGCTCACTAATCACCGACCGACAAACCAGCGACAGCTCAGGGAGCGCCGAGAAGAGGAAGCAGGCAGACGCGAGCGCTGGAATCGGCATGGCTACCTCAACCGCTGAGATGGCTGCTCGCACTACTTCTGCGCCAGGGTGAGAAAAGCTTCCGTCTGGAGTTCTTGATCGTTTCAGTCTGTCTGGCCTTTAGGATGGAGTTCAGTGCGTGTCGGCCTTTAGACAGATGCAACATGATGACATGATGTAGCTCTTTTTTTAAGATGTGCATCGTAACGATGTTGAGTGACTGCTTCCCGAGATCCGCGAGGAGTTTACCCTCCGCTGCTTGGTCACCATCGTGTGGTCCTACGCTACCTTCAGGCGTCACAGGGAATCCTGGACCGATCCGGACGGCTCTTCTCCATACGTGCATTTTCACCGAACCGTCCTTCGGAGGCAGAAGGAGGAAGCGCTTTTTCAGTCCATCGGCGACCACCTGATCTCCCAGGCCGCGGTCCCACGTCATATTAGGTCAGGCAAACAAGACTACTGCAGGTCCACACTGCCAACTGCGGTGAGCTGGCCAACACAGCACCGAACCCAGTAGAGTGCTGGCGTGTGCTCAGGCAAAGTTTGTAGCCTGACCGGGAGGGTGCAGGGCTGTCGCAGTCCTGTGATGTATATCGTCAGAGTCTAGAACATTGCGTGAGCATTGCTCGCTGTCTAGCGACTAGGCTTGGGCCTATGGCCTCCTCCAGATTCAGCACGAGAGGCCTGGAAGAGTTCGGTGAATCTAGTCGCTCTGCGTCGCTTCCGGGCCATGCTCTTGTTGGCTTCTTCAAGACTTCCAGTGCATCAGTAGTGCATCGTGTTTAGGAATCCGCGATGTTGCAGTCAAGAGCAACACCTTGAGGCTGTTTCAGGAGCTGGCAAGACGTGCGACCGTCCGTTTGCAAGATTTCAAACAACAGGCCCGAAGCCCGGAAGCAGGGAAGTCGAGCACAGGATGCAGCTTCGTCTCAAGCCGGCTGCAGAAACGGCTCTCTTTCACGCTACCGAGGAGGTGGCTGGCATCATGTGGGGCTTTGCAGCCAACAACTTTTTCCAAGCGGCCCGAGCCTTAGAGCGTCGGGCCTGGGACCCCCCAAAATCCTCGGGTCTCGGCCTTGGACCGCCGAGGCGTTCTTCAACAACGCGTCCTTGGCAGCGCAGCGATTAGTGCCGGGCCAAGGGGGCAAGAGTTCTCCAACAGCCAGGAGATGGGCATCTATGGAACAAGCAGTGCATTCCATACTGTTGCGTTCCTGGTTGCCTGCGCTGGCCTGAGCTGGCTAGCCACGGCCGGCGCAGGCCGCGCAGAGGCGAGAGAGTCGGGTATGTCGGTGAGTGGAGCTTAAGGGTGTGCATGGGTGTGCTATTCGGTTGGTTTTTGACTTTTCTCCACTTATGCACGTATGAGCATGCTGATCCAAAATCATGACATCTGCGTAGCATCCTGCTTCTGGTCAACGAAGCCGAAGGTGCTCACCCCGCAGCAGCTGACGAATATTCTGTCCTCGCCCTAGACTTGCAAATCGTTAGGGGCACCAGACGCCTTAGATGAGCCAGCCGGAATGTTCTTTACGCTTCATGCTGACCCGAAGATGGGCATCTTCGAAGACACAATCTTGGCTTTGTCAGAAATCTGGACTTTGTTCTTCAGTCAGCAAGTCACGGAGTTTTTCTCCCGGTTGAGGTGGGCCTTGACTCGCAGGAAATGCAGGCAGAGCTCATTGCCTGCGGCTTAGACGTGATAGGATTTCGGAACGCGTGTAGCATGGGGCTACAGGTTTGCTGTTGTTGGATGCTCACTTGCCGGGCACTTCTTTGACCGTCTCGCAACACTTGAGGCAATCAGCGGTGATGGCGCTGCTGCCGGCAGCTACCCGTCAACTTGACAGGCCTGCAATTTATCATACGAGTGTGGGAAGTGCAGGTATTGGAGACTGGCTGATAAGCAACAGTACTAAGCGGCCGCTGAGAACCACGGCTGTAGCGACACTAGAGTTATTGCGGAGGGCAACACAGCTGGTCACGATGAAACTCGTACCAGCAAGCCAGGACATCAACATAGATGTATCTTTGCTTATCTTTGCGGGTGGTGGCGGCATGTCGTGGTGCTGCTGCAAGGCTGCTGCTGCCCTTGCTGCGCTTGCTACTCATCTTCTTGCTCCGCAGTGGTCGTGGCGGCGGCGGCGGTGGCGGCGATAGCGGCGGCTGTGTGTGTGTGTATATATATATACATGTATATGTGAGATCGTAATCGTTGCGGTGATCGTTGTCGTCGCCCTCAGTGTCAATCTCCAAAGGACACAAAACAAATTTGGCAGATTACTGCTCAAGCTGCCATAAGCTGCCGCCACTTCAGCTGCCGAGAAAGCCACATTGATTCCATCCAGTGTACGATCTATATGCTCTGGGCTTTTGTAGAAAGCTGGTTCCATGGTCAATGGTCATGCATGGGATCTTGTGCAATCTGCTTGGTCTTTTGTCCCCAACGGCGAAGCGATCGGGTCTTCTTGCCTTCAGCTGTTGGGACTTGAGTGGGCTTCCTATACCAGGTTCAGCATGCCAGAGATTGCGATATGCTCTTTGGCTGCTGCAAAGGCCGGTTGCTGAATTATCGCTCAGACGGTGTTTCGGCATAGGCTTGTCCTGGAATGGGAAGAAGACGCTGAGGTGGCGAAAAATATGGAAGGCAGCGGCAAAGGAGGCACGTGAAGAATACCTGTAGGTTGGCCGCGCAACTGCAATTCGGTAGCCGAGTGCCCGTTTCAGGTGGCCCCAAAATTTCCAATGCTGTCGACTTCTGCACTGCCGCCATGCAGCAGGCTTGCAATGGGCAGTGGGCTGCATTTTGCTTTCAGGTTGCAAGTTCGCCAGCTAGCTTTTACTTAAGTTTAAGTCCGGACTGGGAACTCGACCCACGACTCTGTGACTCCATCAGAGAACTGTCCACGAGGCTATGAACAGATTGACTGTCAAGTCATCTCGACAGGGGCAGGTGTCCATCAGTTGGGCTTACGCTGTTTTTATGCAGCCATTAAACAAGAACAGCTTCAAACGGAGCCAATGAGGAAGGAAGTCATCGCTATGCTACGTTTCTTGCGAATATCAATATAGCTTCGGTAAAGATCCGATCCTTGAAGCTTCCCGCGCTATGCCGGTGATGTCCGCATGGTAAGCGCGGCAAACCTGCTGTGTGCTCACGGCTACTCGTGTGCTGTGCCAGTCCTTTCGAATAAAGCCTTGCCTGCCTTGTGCAGAACGGTGCAGGCACTTCCTGAGAACTCGAAGCGAAATCACGAGACACCGAGGCTGTGCCTACAGTATCACGAGTTGGCAAGCAGAAAGGTACACTGTGCACGAATGAGGCAGCGAAAAATAGGACCCGTGACCCCAGAGCACTGAAACACCTGCAGGCCTAATTACACTCCTGAAGTCCGGAATCGGACCAAATCTCGAGACCTTCTCTTTTTCCTCCTCCTTTTCAGGCCTTGAGCCGGCTTTCTGAGCTCTCCAACCAGCTGCTGGTGAACCTGGCAGCGCTCGGGGCCCTGACATTCCAGTCATTAAGATGCTGTTGTTGAGGACGTTTAGCATGAGGACTGATGGCAGGAGGTCGGGGTTTGGGGCTTTGGGTGAGTCTGAACTCCTCCGGCTAAAGCGGAGGAACTCCATTCCCCTATGCAACTAGGGCATGCAAGATGTTTTGGAGCCCTTCATGGCGATCATCCGCAAGAGCCATGCTTTCCTAAGACTCGTCGAACACACCTCCGCCTAACTTCCCTCTCATGTGCCGGTCATTACCGATCACAAAGCTCGACGCCGAGGGCCTTCCTGCTCGTCGGTGCTCCCGGTGCGGCCGGGAGTCCTGCAGAGTGCGTGCAACGAAGTGCAACGAAGTTGGCAGGATATCGGATGGCTTAGAGGTTAGTGTAAGTTTAAAGGTGTTGGAAGGGTGCGTTGGGCTGTAGCAGACTCTACCCTTCGGCTGCATGAAAGCCTAGATAGTGGACTCCTGGTTCCAAAGGCAAGGTTTCAAGCTCTGGAAGAGCTGCTCGAAAAGGGCTGCTCCGATGTGTGCAAGGGACGCCCATGCAGTTTCCAGAAAAAAAGCCTAAGTAGAAGGAGCCGGGCTATGGCAGCTATCATGGCTCTACTAGGCAGCTTTGATGTATCCGAAGGCCCTGGGCCTGGAGTCCCCGCTCCCCCCGAGGTCGTCGTGCTGGCTGCCGTAGGCCGCGAGGCGCTCTGAGCTTCTGTTCTTGAGAGTTCGATACTAACACTGTGGTAAAACTAACATGCGAAAGTACTGGTGTATGTATGCTGGTGTAGATGCGGGCCTCAGTACAACACAACATCTCCCTGCTACTCCCTGTCTCCTTGGGGGCTCAGAGTTTCATCGTCCTGATGCACTCGTCCCGTCGGAAGCCGATGACCTTTCTCAGCAGTGCACCCGTTTCTGTTGCCTTTGGTGACCACGTGGCAGGCTTTAGATCGGATGCAGATGCTGGAGAACACTGTGCTGCTCCACCTCATCAGGTTGCTTGGCTTTGAACCGATTGTCTCGGCTTGCAGGCCCGACCCAGGGCAGGTGTGATGCACTGTCGATTGTCTAGTTCGATCGTAAAGAGAAGTAGACGGCGTCATGCATGTCATCACATCTAGGTGTAACTATCAAAAGCTTGTTACACTGTTCTTGCATGGCCATTGACTTCATCCGTCTCTTCTCTTGTCAGGGTTTTCTCCATAGACCTGGCCAAGCTGCAGCCTCCGGCCTTGCTGGAAGGTCGTGATCTCGGAGGTGTCAGGAGACGAGGGCTAGTGGGTTCATCGTTCAGTCCCAGAGGTGCTAGGGAAGCCGAAGTAAGGGCTAAGGCGCTCGAGAACCCGAAGCAACTTCGAGCTTCCCCATACTTTTCCCCACACTTTCCCTGCATCCGCCGGCAGGCGCCTGCCAGGGGATGTTCCGCGCCCTCTTCGCCGAGGCGGCTCGGCGTATGGACTCGCTGAAGCCGAGGGACCCCGCTGGGACAAAAGTGGGGGGAGGGGGGGGGGGGGGGGGTGGCTCTTCTCTTCGTGTTTCTTTGCGGGGCTGCGGTGCGGGATTGCATGGGACTTGCTTGGTCTGTTGCGGGAGCGCTGCAATTCGTCCCCAAGCTATGGCAGTGTGAGCTTCCTATTTATTTAGTCATGCTGGTATATACAGGCCACTAATGTGTCTTGTGGTTGTGTGGGCTCACGGCGGCAGGAGATGCAAAGCCTATCTCTCCTTTGTGCACAACCGCTGGGTCTGACTGACGCTGGCGACATGAGCGCGGGAGATTTGAGAAGCGCCGGGCTCGGCGATCAGCATCTTGCAGTTTGTGCAGTGGGCATCACAAGCCTTGACCCCAGCCAACCGCCGCAACGCAGCGCGGAGAGACTCTCCCAAACAAGGAGTTCTTAGCATAAAGTGATGCTTGTTTCTTATTGGCAGTGCCCAGGTTGCTGCTTCGCGCTCGTGGGGTCCTCAAAGAGTCTCACCGAAACACAGAGGTGGAGTGTTGGACACCCGACGAAACGACAGTGTTTATTGGTATTGGACCTGGAACCAACGCGAGGCCACCACAGGTAATGGAGCGCACCAGCCCCTCTCCCTCCTGGACGAGCTCGTAGAGGCGACTGGATGCAGCTTCCATTGCACGGTTCCAACATTCTCATGTTCTCTGACATCCTTGCGCACCGGCTGCAGCAAAGCTGGGTTCATTGTGTTTCAAGAGTCAACAAATTGCAAGATTCGTGCAGAGTTAGACAGTCTAACAGAGTCTAATGGCCATCCCCAAATGTAACATCTCGAGATGTAGTCGAGTTCATAAGGAGCTGTTCTAAGCTTGAGGGCAAGAATTAGGCGGCACATAGCGCAATTACCCCTGAGAACGGCTATGGCGGGCATGGCCGGGCCGCAGCAGGGTCCTCCCAGCGAGGAGCTCTTTGTGACCGGACTTCCGATGGACTGCAGCAGTGTCCAGGCCAAGCAGATATTCAAGCAGTACGGCGGCGTGAAGCAAGCGAATGTTCTGCCGGTGGCTGCTGGCAAGACGGCCGCTGCGGCTTTCGTCATCATGGAATCTGTGGAAGATGCCAGGTGGGTCGTGGACCATGTGAATGGCAATGTCCCTCAGGGCTTGTCAAACCCGGTTACTGTGGCCTTCGCGACTCCAAGAGCCGACCGCAAGGGTGGCGGAAAAGGCATGAAGGGAGGAATGGGAGGCATGAAGGGCATGCCACCGCAGATGATGCAAATGATGACCATGATGATGGCATCCATGGGCAAGGGTGGAGGAGGTGGAAGCGGCGGAGGCTGGGGGAGCGAGGGCGATGGGGGTTGGGGTGGCGCAGGTGCCGGTGGCTGGGGTGACGCAGGTGGCTGGGGCGGCGGCTCGAAAGGATATGGCGGCTATGACAGTTACAAAGGCGGCGGCAAGGGGTTTGGCGCCAAGTGGTGAACAACAAGAAGAGACTTTCGAGTGTCTGATTGCGTGGCGAGAGCCAAAAAAGAACACGTGCCTTGAAGGTGTCTACCGCACTGCAAGTCTACTGATGCCTTCTAACACCTGAATCTGCATGATCTTACCCTGAACATGCCGTTGGAACATCAGGACGACCACGAGGTGTTCTGGGATCCGGATCCCGTGGAGGCTGGAGTCCGAGTTGCTCGCGACGGTGCCATACCGCTTGGCGCCTTGCTCAACAGGCTGTTGTAAGCTGGACTGACAAACATATTTTTGCTTCGAGGGTGCGATGCGCCATCTTTCCTGGTACGAATCGAAACTATACCCCTGCGATCCCCTGCCGCATGACCCTGGCAGGTTCCCAAGCAGACCCCGTCGGCCGCCAGCAACGCTCCGGCCGCGGCAGCCTTTCCAACCGGCGTGGCAGTTGGAGCGGGGCTCAGGGACATAAAAATAGGTCCGTGAAGGCTTGTAATTGATTGCGTAGTTTCGACGTGATATGTTTTGTATTTTGGTTTTGGTGCAAATGCTTGGGATCGGTTTGGACTGCTGAAGCACGTCACGGTGGACCCTTGAACTTTCTGTGGCAGTCTGTGGCTGATAAGACTTGGTGTCACCTCCTGTCGGGGATGCAGCCAACTTACCAGGTGTAGCCACATGCGAGCGCTCTTTGACCGATTGACCGAGTGTTTGAGGAAGATCATGTCAAATGCGGTGTTGAAGGGCTTTGCTAGCATCACAATCTCAAAGCTTGCTTCGGACGTGATAAGTCGTGGAATAGGTTCAGTCGTACGTCGACGGCTGCTTGCTGATGACACTTCCATCTGCACGAAACTCTGAAACTCGATTGGGGCTTCAGGTGTCTTTGCACCCCCGGCAGGGCCCATGGGCGCTTGGCCCGCGGGCCACGAGCCCCCAAGGCCGTGGTTGCCCCTTTACATGTAGACGACGTAGACGTAGTGGAAACATAAATTGGAGACGTAAGCTGCTCTGTTGTCGTTGGTTCCTAGTGTTACGACCGTTCGCTGCTTTCTCAGGACTCCTCTTCCGTTCCGTATCATCATTCAGTCAATCTATCGACCGGTCAATCCTCAAACCGACTGGGGAAGTAGTCCGTGAAGTGCAAAATTCCCGGAATTACACGATCCAGACAATCGATCAATGCAGCCAGCAATCGACAAATCATTGGGTTGTTTTCAGATTCATAATGTGACACTCCTTTGCCTTCACATTCCCGTTCATCCACACTCTTAGTCAGACATACCCACTCATATCGTTTCACCCACGGCCCACGGAGCCATCCATCCATCCATCCATGCATCCATGCATACCCCCCTTCCACCCACACACCCGCCCTCCCACGAGTGTTTGCCGTAACGGGAACAGGATGTCCGAAACGGGAACCTGTAACAGGGCGTGCAAAATCCTAGCCCCGCCACCAATGGAGTAGTGCTCGTAGTACGACAACTTCAACTTCCTTCGACATAATCAATATGAAGAAACAAATTGTGGCTTCAGGGACAAGGAGTGTGTTGCCACTGGCATCCTACATCCCAAAC